CAGGCAAGTTAGCGCGGCCGGGAGATGCGCCATCCATGTTTGCAGGCTGTCCAGACGACCACGATCGACCCGAAGACAGTGAAGGTTAGGACAGGTCTGGCAGATACGCAACAGAGCTACGTCCAGCGAGGCAAAGAGGGTGCCTTTTGGGTGGGGGGAGGGGATACAAGGGCACAGAAAAACGACGGACTAGTTATACCGCATGACCGGTAAGAGCAAGAGCAGAACCACATCTTCAGATTATGGTATGAAAGTGGAATCATGCAAACACTAACTAACGTGTTCGGCAAGGGGTATGGTTTACGCCCGGGGTCACTTACTCCAGGGAGCAATCGTGTTGAGGAAAAGAGCCGAACATCCAAGAACTTTGTGGTATCACACATTCTGATCCTCCATACTGTCACCAATCAAAAGGGGACACTATTTTTTTACCATTTAATGATAATAATAAATAAAGTTAGTGCCCAGTTGGAGGCATTGTCAGAAAGGCATTGTAGTGTCATATTTTTTACTCCGACGAATACCTTTAAGCTTCTTGACCAACCTAACGCAGCAGCCACCGAGAGGTCTTTTCATTCCTTCCTCTGGCACCTAAAAATAAATATCGCCAGTCACCTACTTTTAGCACGATTGCTCCCCGAAGTAAGTGACCCAGGGCGTAAACCATACCCTTACCACATGCTCTTGTAAGCCTGTCAAGTATGAAAAAAGACTATTTTGGTGAGGTTGCAGCATGCTGGACCCTGGTACGTTAGATGCCTGTATGAGTCCAATCCCATTCAGCAGATGGCTTGCACACGAAGTTGAGTTTTTGCACTTATTCCATAGGTAAAAGGGTTGTCAACTGATAGGGCAACTTGCTCCTCAAGGTCAGCGCTATGTAGGCATGTGGGATGGCTGGCTGGATGACTGAGAGGCAGGTTGCAATGGTTCCCTCCTAATACTGCACTCACAGCACTCCCAGACACGTGCCTGGTGCATGATGTGAAGTCAGATCGCGTGCGTGGCACGCGTTGACGGACTGTCTGTTTTTTTCGGTCATTGCGCCTGAGTCCACCTCCCCTCGCCTTGACACTGGAGTACAGCGGGTTGAGAGGAAGGAGAGAGTGCGACATACACTACACAAGTCCCCTCACTGTAAGGCAATGTCACCGGTGCTGCGAATGCCCCGTAATAAACACGATGAGGGTCACCGCTCGCGACGGTCGTACTTTCATTCCGTTGACAAATACATTCTAAAATGTAATGCTTAGAGACTTTGAGTTCGTGGCCATGAGCATTTGCAGACTCTTGCGTGAGTTATGTGAGCTACCAGTCTCCGTTCTACCAAATTTGGCCACAACGTGATCCGTACCTTGTGCGATAATTTCTGAACACTAGGAGATCTTCTTATAAGAACACGAGGTGTTATATGCATTGGTTGTAGAAAAAAATAATTTACTGTAGAATGAGAACAAGTGAAAACCCATTTTGGGTCCCACACAGCCCTACGCCCAATTTCGAGGCCGTCTGGAATAGTCTGTCAAGACTGTCGGCAGTTGTATTATGTCGAATTGCCTGGTGACTCTGGGTCACTTAGTTGTGGGACCTATAACTATGCCTACGTAGGTTCAGTTTCTAAATTGAAGCAAACTTTCTTAATGTGATAAAGGACAGCGTAAACAGATAACGGTTGGTTATGAAGTTGTTTTTAGAGTGAAAACGTTCAGCTAGGAGCATTGTTTTCATTGCTGTTACGTTAACAAAATAGGGAGAACCTAAAATTCCTTTTTACGACCGCGCACTGTTAAGCACAACTGCACACGTGATGTCGGGCGGGGGAAGACAGCAAAACAACACACTCAAGCAGGGGGACACAACGCAAGTCAAAAGAAGAACAAGCAGACTTAATGTTGTTCGCGCGTGAAGCTGAACGTAAATGCATCAGACAAACCATAAATGCTGAGCATTTTTGCAAAACGAGAATCAAAGCGAAATGTTCTGCTCTAAGCAGAACATTCGGTACTTAGTTGGGAAAATCGACAAAGCAACCGGCGAAACATCATGTGCTAAATGCGACACAAGTTACGAAGGCGAGTCGGGAAAACTCGTCCCCACAGGCATACACAAGCATCAATTAGCGACAGGGATATGGGCTTGCGGATTTGCACAACATTGGGACGGGACGCAAACTTGGCCTGAGCGAACGTCCGCAAAGGGGATGTAGTGGGTGCAATTGCTGCGCAACCATGTAGCAGACTTCCGCATTCATTGCAGCTGTTCGTTGTTGGTACAGTGGTGACTTAGTCGTCCACATTAGAGTTGTTAATGGCCGTGCTGTTGATTGGCGTCATAATTGCTAGACTATTAGGCAAATCTGTACCTTTAATTGAAGCAGTGTCCACTTATGCCTTCTCAGTGAGACTAAACCAGTCCAAGGTAAGGCGGGAGCGTCGAATAGGGCGTGAGGAGATCCTTAGCCTGTCGATGAACTGTGGGCCGTAGAATCGTGACTCAACCAACTTGCGACTTAGGTGGTTGTTATCTTGCACGAGGTCTAGCAGCATGCGCAAAGACCTTGTCCAGGCGGGGTAATTTGACAGAACCGGCCGAGTAATTATGACACAAATCACCAACACCAGTAATTAAATGGCGCCCGTTAAGGGCTGAGGTGTTGGCTACTAAGACCCCATTGCACCAAGTGTGAGCATCTGTGATGAATGTGGAACGTAGCAACTGCGTCTTTGCTGTGGCTGAATTCGCACGTGAATTCGAAACATCAGAGGGACAAAATTACTGTTCCAGAGGCCGAGTCCCTCTCTTAACGGTTTCCCCGAACTCGTATTATCGACTGTATCCGTAATAACAATCTATCAGTAATAGCATATGTGAATTACGTAAGCCTGGTAGTCATCTGGTGGATTCTAGACGAATTACTCAGGAAATCCTGTTTGGGCAGTCAACTTACTGTATCAGATTTGGTGGATTCCAGACATTGCAGTAGGTTGGGTGGGTAACTTGATCCAAATGTGATTAAACTCGCGTCGTCCGGCGGGGCCTCGTAGCTCAAGTGGTTAGAGCGTTGGCTGTACTAAAGCCTTCCCCTTACTGCGTGGGTTCGAATCCCATCGAGGCGCCGAGTTTTTCACAATTGGGTCAATATGCAATAACAAGTGTGTCGATAGACCTTCGAAAGTAATCCCCCATTAGCTCCCTCTTCACTCGTTAACAAACATTTTTTTACTGTGACAGAAACTGCATTCACCGAGCCGCGCAACCTAATGACGTCTACAAACTACGCCTGAATGTTCTCTGAAGGTTCAGTAGTAACAAAATCCTAATTTTTACTGATCGGATCATGTCTTTTACATCTTTTTCCCATGCAGACGAGTGATAGACGCAGTATGCTGTGTACTCTAAGGCATAGACAAACATAAAGACAGATAATGATGATAGTTCACACCAGTCAAGCTCACTGAGACAACGTGTTCACCAAGGATGCCGTAGGAAATGAGACGTCTGAGAACGGGCAGTTGAATCCGCCAGCCCAGATCAACGTTCCGCCAGAGGCAGGGAGAGCGGGTCAGTAGATACCACTGCCGGCAAACTCGGGCGATCACAGTCAGCTTCACATTGGTGGGAAGGAAGGCGAAGATGTTCAACCAGACCTCGGTCGGAATATTTCGTGCATCCACCCAAGGCGCGTCGGCGGAAGAGGAGGACCGTCCCGGCGGGTCATGTGACTCCTCCAAAGAGGAGACGGGGAAGAAAAGAGACGTCACATGAGGCATGCGAGTGAACTTTAAAGCCAGTTGAAAAGGCAAAACTAAGTCGTGCGACGATTCGGTCGTTGCAAGCGATGTTCACCACGTGGCCCGCAGAGTAGGCGAGGCACCAGTGACTTGCGCGTAAATTGCCTTATCGTGAAACCGACTTGGTTAACATCTGCCACAATCCCCTCCCCCCTCACCTACCGTGTTTCGATGACAAGACAGCAGGGAGGCTGGGGTGGGCGAAGTCTTCGCCGAAGACAAAAAGTCCTTCTACGCGTGCCACTCACAACCCGTTCCCCATTGTGTGAGCCAGGCTGCAGTAAGGGCGGTTCAAATCTCGTGTTGGGGTCACAAAGGTAACATTAAGAAGGAACTACTACGGTCTGGTCCTCGTTTCTGAGAGGTGTCGAATTATCCTGCCAGCTAGCAGCCATCCCAACCACGGCCCTTGGAGCGTTCTTGTAGGTTCAAGTGTGTCAGATTTTAGTGTGGGATACGTTGATTTGTCGTGAGAAAGGATTCTCCCAAGCGTTAGCCTCATGGTCCCCTCTCTCGCCCGTGCTGTCCGAGCCTGTCGACTAGCTGGTGATGAGATCGGGTGCAATGGATGACGCGGAGTGAAGGTCTAGGTCTAAGGCCTGTCTCCGCACGCGTGTCCGGCAGCGGTTAGCGACTTTTGCGGACTCGGCGCAGCCAGACAGACGCGTACTGTGAGCCCAGCGACCGGTGTTTTGTTCAAGCACATCTGCAGCGCAGCCCCTTGTTGGGGCCGCAAAGTCGCACGACAGTTCGGCCGTCGTTGCCGGCGATGTCCACCGTGTGCTCTACAGCAAGGCGGAGCAGGGACGGTTACTTGTACGCGAACTACTTTATAGTGAATGTAGACTTGTTCAGCATCTACCGTAAAAAGGAAGCCCCCCCCCCCTCGTATCAGAGGTGATCTTGCGCTAAGTTCCGCGGGGTTAGAGTTAGAGATAATGTTAAGTTAGGGGTAAGGGTTAGGGATTCGGAGCAAGGCCATCTGCAGTAGGGGGAGCTCTTATTACCCTGCCCAGCAGTAGTATTTCCTACCCAGTTATCAAAGAAGCAGAGCGCGGTAGATACCTGCGCTAGTTGACAGTTCAACCGTCGTCGCCGACGATGTCCACCGTATGCCCCATAGCAAGGTGAAGCAGACACGATGACTTGCGCGTGAGTTAGGTTATAATGAAGGAAGACTTGCACGGCATCTACTGCGGTCTCCCCCCCCCCCTACCCCCGCCCCCACCTGGACCCGGTGTCAAGACAGAGTCAGGACGACCGGGACGGGGGGGGGCAGGTGGACAGCACAATCGATCCTGCACCCTGGCGTTCCATTCCAGACAGCAAATGACCAGGTTTTTGACCAACAACAGTGAAGGGGGAGCGAAGCGGCAGGATTCCCAGTGTGTGTGATGTCTGCCGTCAACGGGGTCTGCCACCGCACCCCCAAATGTTGGCATTTGTTATGGTTCGCAAATCCGATAACGCCTGCCAGAATCCGATATGGCCCCGTGTGGGTCCAGCGCACCTACCACGCGGCCCGTTTATGGCGCACGAAGTCGCAAAGACGCAAACAGGCTGCAGCCCCACTCCACACTGATGTCATGCAAGAGGAGGATGCGCGCTGTGTGGGTCTTCGTGACGACGGAGACGTCGAGGAGGGTCCACAGACACTTTCTAGAGACTGCATAAACTCTGCGAGCAGCATCGACTCGAGAGACGTCGTTCTTACTCTGATCATTTGACAGAAGCCCCACTTTGGAGTATTTGTAACTATTTTTTCGAGCTTTCATTCGCTAACCCCAAGGGATGCCTTGTCCTGGTCAGGGATGCGGCTTGAAAACACTGGTCTCCCCAGCCTTTATGCATAAATAGGCTGATTTAGCCACTTTAGTCATCCTCGACAACACAGTCTGTAGGTCGTCGAAGCTTGAAACTAGCAGACAGAGAGCTAGGATCACAGTGAGGACTGCAAACTCTAGTCTAGGGGGATCGAACTGCCAAGTAGAGTTAACTACTGACCGCCATTAATCTCTAACTCTCTATCTCTTTGCACTAAGACAGTTCGACCGTCGCGAACGACGACGTCCATCGGGTGCCCCACGGAGTGGTAGCGGCACGGAGGACTTGCGAAGCACCCAACACACCCTTCACCCACCTTGCCCTGATAGTAAGACACTGTCAAAATGACTGAAGGTGGGAGAGCGGGCGCAGTGATTGACGGAACTAAACAACCCGTCTGGATGTGCCACACACGACCCAGCCCCGACAACACGCATCGGGCTGCCGCAAAAACGACTCAGATCCTGTAGCAGTGGGAGTGTTACAGAGGTCATGTTCAGAAGGCGTTATGGCAGCCTGGCTCCCAGACCTGAGGAGGACCGAATTGTCCCGTCAGTTGACAACCTTTGGAGCAATGACTTTTAGTGCGTCACAGTGGATCAAAACACCCCCAAGTTATTAGTGGGGAACGAGCTGATTTGTCGTAAATAAGGATTCCCCCTAATGTCGGTGTCACTGTTTCTCCCCTCGCTCATGCACCAGACAGCTGTCCGAGGTCGTAAACTAACTGGTGATGGCATTGGACAGTGGCCCATGCGGCACTGCCACTACGCACGTGCACAGCAGCAGTTGGGAACTAGCGCGGACTCGGCGCAGCCGGGTAGGCGCGTCTCGTGAGTCGGGATGACTGTTATTTTGGTCAAGCGCATCTACAGCACAGCCTGTTGTGGACGCCACCCCCCCCACATCACACATACACACGCACGCGCTTCCTACGCGGGAGGCAAAGACCCAACAGGAAGGCGTGTGGAGATAAAAACGCAATCTCGTCGTAAACCAATTCATTTTTTTTCTTTGAAAACACAGTTAGTTTATAAAACAGAAGTCAGAACACTTCGCTGGTGTGGGGACGCGGAGGATACAAATGCAAACTGAGTAGCAGTTTTTCATTAGAAGAGAGATTAACTGCAGTCCTCATCTCAAGCGGTCAGAAGATGAGACTGCAGGAGGTAGTCCGCAAACATGGATGAGGGTGTGCGACAATACAGTCGCACCTACAGGTTGGAAAAGCCGTCCACAAAGAACCAATTATTCGTCGCCCTCGTCGGTGTCGTCCGAGTCGTTCTCACGACCACGTATGGTCTTCTTGGGCCGTCTACCAAATGGGTTCTTCGGTTTTTGGCTCTTCTTCTGAAGATCTGGTGGGCTGTTTAAATCACCCTGATAGTCCACCACACCGGCTACACCAAGACGCCAGTCAAGCATCTCTGTGCTGAAGTCATCATGTCCACCGAGATCATCAAATCCGATAATCATGTCACAGACTTTTTCATTCTTCACAAGCACCAGCGTCGGCAACACCCGCACACCAAGCTTCGCAGTCAGGAAGGGCGACTTCTCCGCATCAATTTTCACGAAACGGCACTCAACCCTACGGGGAGCAAGAAGGGCAAGGTGCTTGTCGACGATTCCACAACGGAAAGTGCTAGATCGGTAGAAGTGGCACACCAGGGCCGGAGAATTAGCACAGGCAGTGAAGAAATCACGCTCTGATGGCAGTTCTGTGTAGACTCCGTGACCGGCAGCTATCCAGGCCTCCTTCTTTTGGGCCTTTTCCTTCATCTCCTCCAGGCGTTTACGACGGATCTTTTCCAGATCGTCTTCATCCATCTTCTCGATTTTGGCAATCTCCTCGTCAACAGTATCCTCAATGGCCTGAACAGCACGATAGAGCTGAGTCTCTAACGCCTTTTTTGCGGCCGATTCACTTGCCATCTTGTTTCAATAACTACAAAAGACAAAATGATCGTAGTTAAAACGAGTAGAATGACACAAGAGTTCCCTCTGGATATCTACAACCAAAGAACGTAAAATATGTTCGAGTGGCGGGGAGAGAGAGGTTCCCGAAGAGTCGAAAGCGCGGAAGTGACAAATAAAATGGAAGGACATGGTCGAAGCCCGAACTCTAAACCTTGTTGGTTGGTGTGGTGTGGGGGTTGTTAACTGGATCTTTTCACGGGGATGTGGATGAGTGTGGTGTTAATGATTGCCCCAAAGGGCTACACAAATGGTATAGCATTTCAGCAGTCTAATTGAAAACAAGACAGTAAAAATAAGGCGGCGGAGCAGTTCAGTTCAGTTCTGCTGCCTAACCAGAGGAGAAAGACGCATATCCGACCGTGGCAATGTTCACTGAGATATCAACCTGAGAAACCACTGGACGAGACAATGGGTCATTGACTGAAACACTTACCATTGGAAAGTAACCTACCCACCACATTATAGGTCTCAATTCATTCTGATCCATTCCACTAACAGTCCCCACGCAATATCGACTAGTGTAAGGCAAACTGAGAAACATTCTGAACTGTACTGTATTAGAAAGACAGTGTCGTAGCGGTTTGAGGTGACAGGGGTTAAAACAGGATGAGCAGAAACTCGCAAAACGACATTGTGTGAAAGTTTGGGAACAAAATCTGGGTCTACGTATACCGAGCTAGACATTAGCCCAGTGCTCTGATGCAAGAGTTTCTGGACGCCAACAAAACTACTTACCGGCAGGTCGTGATCAAACCGGTAGTCCGGATAGGAAGTCTAATGCACTCTAGACAAAACTCCCTATTAAGTAGATGTGCTAACTCATTAAATGTTAGCCGAAATTCTGAACTACATTTTTGACTCGGAAACATTACTTAAGAAGGGTTGCAATATTAATCACCATGAAGCATAATCCCATAATAATTCAGTTAGTTCAGGATGCGGGCTCTTGAATGAACTTTTTTTCGGTCGCCTGCAAAAACTACACGCTGTGAAGAATGACTACTAAATTAGTATGGATTTTTCTTACTAATTTTCAATATTCTCATAAATTCAATTATATTCCTTATAAAACATGCTAAAAATATTCATCTTTATACTTATTTGGCGGAAAATTACGTCTTCTTTAGATTTTATGCTCGAATAAAAGGTATAATCCGGTTTTAAAAGTTTCTAAT